AGAATGCCTTGGTCAGGCTACCATTAACCATCTTTTTAATTTGTTTACATTCATTTCTTCGCTTATTCAATAACAATTAAATACATTGATAAACAAACAAGATGCAAACTTGTTCCCCTGACTGCGTGTTATCAAAAATGACATGTCAGGATGATTAATGCTATTTAAAGAACCTTCCATTTCGTGGAGTTAATTGCATTGATGCAGCGTGTCGTCAATTTAATTACTACGCAAAAGTACTGCTGCTAAAAAAGTCTACCAGTGGACGGATATTTGAAATATCTACCATGACACATTACTAAATTACAAGGTATGCTTCTATAACGTTTACGTTCTTTGATTTAAACACTTAATTCTTTTTATAAAGAAAAGACAATGCGATGGCAGCTTTTGCTAAGTTTGTAAAAATCCATTGATGTCACAAATGGTATGTGATATTTAAACGCACATTGAGCACTGAACTGATTATTTATTCTTTTTTCCAATAGAAAAAGACAACATGTGTTTATAATGTTGTTATTATGAATTAAGAACATGTAAAATGCTTATTACTAGCAGAAAATATTGTTAAATGTGAAATGAATTTTATAACACAAGTAGGGAAATGTAAACTGAATGGTATTTATACTCCAGATGAAATATTCAAACCCTTTACCTATACAAATGGTCAAAACGCAAGAGTTTTTGTTTAATTTAGTTCAAAGCTAAAAATGTATTAATGTAAATTTTGGACATTTTTCTCTTTTTTTTATTACATGTGCCTATAACATTCAATATTTTGGGACATACAGATCATAACTTGAATTTCCAATAAATTGCATATGCATTTCTCTGAGAATGAAACTATTTTCTAGCATGGCGTCTACCTTTGCAATTGGCACGTTACAGATCTATGAAATACATGTGTACTTGATTTGATGCATAATAAAACGATTGTTTAAATTATGAAAATAATTTAGTTCAAACATATCGTGCCCAATACAAATAAGAATGAATATGTTCAACCTCAAATGTGCCCTACTTTGTGGGCCTATGAATCAATTGTATTTGATTTCCTTGTCGGTTACTGTTATTTACGTTTATGTTTTATAAAGTGATTATCCTGTCCGTGGTCTGCCTTGTGCCCTGTCCTGGTTTTGTTTGGAGTCCTCCTGGGCTTCGTGCCGCTAGTTCTTGATGCTGGGTCATGTGGGGGTAGCGTTAATTGAACGCTACCTTTCCTTGTGGACCTTGTTTACCATTGTTCAACAGAGTTAGCTCTTTTTCTCCAGGAAAGAAAGCCAAAGGATCGTAGAGATGTATTTTCTTTGGCTGAACAATATATAGAGGTTAATGGCGGAACAATTACAAATTGAAAAAGCTCAAAAGTTGACAATTTGTCAAATAAAGCATTGATACGCCTATATCAAAGTTCATTCGAAACCAGCACAGTACAATCACAGAGAAAACAGACGAGAAACATGCTGCATATGTAAAAGAGAGGGTCATGTGGCCAGAGATTGTCTAGATCAGGCTAAGAATAGATATGGGGTAGCTACAATGGCATATGGCTAGCAGAATAGAAATTACTATAGAACAAATAGGAAGTCTTCACAAAGGAATTGGCAAAGTAGGCCTAGAGGAAAAAAACGTGATGTTACATTAGGTGATAAGAAAATATAGGGATAATGTATTGCCCGTTTCTCCAAAAAGCTCTTATGATGGTTGCATCGAAGAGGAGAAACTTAAATTAGCCAATGGTAATTCTGTGCTACCATTAATAGTAGCTGTAGAACTGAATCATTTGAAGGGGAACGTCAAATAGATCTGAAACAAGCATATGATCGTATTCAAGAGGTGGTTGCGAGTTAGCAGTAGTGTAAGACAGAAATTGGTCGAAGAAGATCAAATGTTTAATAAAAGTTGTGTCATGATTGCAATACATGGTCAGGCCAGGTTGGTACCCATGGCAACAATAGACATTGATACACCTTGTTTTAAGGGGGAAAAGAAGCTATGGATTTTTATGTCAGCAATTTGTGACTTAATTTGGGCAATATCTAAGGTGTACATGATAAGCCAAAATAAGACGTGGATTAGCCGAGAAGATACAAACTGTTGTTCTTACTAGAGCATAGACAAAAAAAAACAGAAAAAAGCAATGATCCTCTTAAGTTCCATCGGCCAAAGATAACAAAATTACGGTAGATGTTTTTAAGAAAGAACAATTAATGACAATACCTTACAACTTTTGTGGCAGTATTCTAGAGAAAAAAGATCATGAAAAGAAAAGTGAAAATTTAGATATAAAGTAGGAAAAGGTGTGACCGCCTCCGTGGTCGAGGGGTTAGAGTCGATGACTTCTAATCCAGTTACGTCTCTCGCGTGGGTTCGATCCCCGGGAGATGCTTTGGTAGGAAGAAGGTAGTCCAGTACTGGTGTTACTCTCCAGGAACGATGGTTAGGAAACTATCCGCCTATATGACTGAAATACTGTTAGAAAATAGAAATAGGCGTAAAATGAAACAAACAAACAAACAAATAAGAATTTTTGAGACGGTGAAAGGCGATTTCAAGTCTGAAAAAATAATAGGTCCTAGTAAATATCATAAAGAGTTATGTCCTTAGCTCATGAATATAGTTGGTTAGCATTTGTCTGTACGCAAGACTTTAGACACGATACGGTCTAGTTTTCACCGGCCATGTATTTCTAGTGATATAACTAGATTTTGTCGTTCCTGTGATATTTGTCAGAAGACGATGCCCAAGGGTAGAATTCGAAAACTCCTTTCGGCGAAATGCCCTTTCCAGAAAATTGCAGTAGATTCGATTGGGCCGATATCACATGCATCAGAAAAGGGAAATAGGTAGTTGATTATGATACATACTCGTTACCCAGATGCTATTGCTTTACCAATAAATGAGACTGAAAATATAGCCGAAGGCGGTGTTAGATATCTTTGCAAGAGTAGGTTTCCTTCGGAAATACTTAAAGATAGAGGTAGTCAGTTCAGATCACAACTCATGGAAGGAAGAACTGTGTAGACTTTATATCCCTGAAATAGTTGTTTACTACCACGTACAATCCAAAATGCAATGGTCTTTGTGAGAGAATGATTGTTATTTTAAAAAAAATTGTTGAAGAAAATGTGTCAAGAAAGATCTAAAAATAGGGACAGGTATTTGTCTGCGGTTCTCTTTGCAAACAGAGAAGCCCTTTCAGTCAAATTCGGGGTTCCCACTAGTTGAGCTATAACATGTTTATGGCAGAACTGTTAGAGGTCCCATGAAAGCACTGAAAGGTCCATTGTTGAAATCGAAGCAGTTAACAAGTTTGGCTACAAGGTTAAAGTAGGTAATATATAATTATATAGAATTGGGATGTTCCAAAAAAACTTTTGAAGAAAAACGAAGAACGAAAAGATGGGATTTGTGCTAGTGAAGCTGTAAAAGAAGCGGAAAATAATAATGATACTGGGGTGATTGGTGATGAAAATCTTTTATAACTAGTAGATATATACACAGGATGAAGAGAGGTACAGAGATGTTAATGTTAATGATCAATTATCTTTCAAACAAAAAGCAGAAGTAAATGCGTTGGTTCAAGAATTTGAGAATATAACTACTGACTCTCACAAGATCGAGTAGACAGACAAAATGTCAACATGTGATAGACTCGATACCTGAAAAAAGACATTGTGGATTTTTTATTTGTTTGAAAACAGTGGTGTGTTTTCTTGAGTAGGGGGCTGTCAGAATATACAGTTTTATCTGTTGTTTGTTTCCTACAGTGAAACATTGCTTTAGGTGTAGTGTATATATCGTGTTTCAATGTACAGTTATTTTTTAAACATGTTGCTACTCGTATAAGTGAAAGATATTTTGTATAAGTGATTAATAAATGATGTGTGTTTGTTTTGGGTATAACTAATGATCATCGTTCTTTGTTTTGGGTGTACATAATGATCAAAGTTGATTGTTTAAAAGTATATATCGATTTGAGATAGAAAATAAGATAAATATACCTTAAAAATAGTGTGAACTAAACAATCACATGCTTGTTATTCGACTTAGAATATTTTAATTTTTAGTCAGGCGGTGCTGCTTAGTCTCCATATCTTGGAATTTGGTTTTAGTATTAATTCTAAATCTTTTCTAAGAATAAATAACATCACAGTTGTCATACTCTTGACAGTAATAACTGAATATAATCATATTGGTTTGCACACGAATCGATGTAGAACTTTAAACATGTAGAAATCATGAAAAAGATAGACGAAATTGAGATAAGAATTCGATAAGATACCCGACATGCTGCAAGCTCATCTCTCACATACAACCTTTAACCAGTATATGAACGTGCATATGATAAGCATGTAGTATTCATTAATTTAATTTAGGATTAATACAACAATATGACATATGAATTAACGATATTATGTTTTTTTCTGAAGCACGTGACTTTTAAAACAGAAATTGCTTACTTTGTATCCCTTCTCAATTAAATATTCATGCAAAAAACTACTACACAATGGCATTAACCTATCCACACTAGAAATTTTAAAAAGGCTTGTCCATTTTTCAATCAAGTCATGACCGCTTATAATATTAAAAGAACTACATATATTCACTGTCTGCACTGGTCGCATGGGTAAAATCAGAAGTCGACTAGCGATAAGCTTTGTTAGACCTTGTGATCAGTTAAAAAAACTTGTGTTTTACCCACAAGAGGCCTCATTACTCACATATTTTATTTGCAGAAAGCGCGGGCACACAATCGACATGAGTCCATAGTCGTTAGATTTAATTAAGGTTTAAAGAAAAATATTTATCATTTCAACATGCATTTCTACTTCACGTAGTGTGAATTTGTCAACAAGATAACAACCATATACAACCCAATAGAACTATTTTTTTACTAACTATTTGACAAATACATACATATTCTACTTATCTGATATGGTTATTTTTAGCGCAGTTACGACCGAGAGATATTTGCTTTTATAGATAACGAAACCGATATATGACTTTATAATATAAAACGTAAATGCGTGCCAAGTAAAATGGCCGCAATTTCAGTGAGTGAGATGGAAAAACAGTCAGATGATCCACTTCATTTGTTATGTTCACCTTGTAAACGTAAGGAAAGAAATAAAGAAGCGGAGACATATTGTGCTGACTGTCATGATTATTACTGCTCGGATTGTGTGAAATGTCACGACGATATTCCTGCTATGTCTGGACATAAGATTCTAGATAAAGATCAAGTCAAAGATAGACCAAGCGGAACATTGCCTATGACACCAACTCAAAGATGCGAGAGACACGGATTTAAACCTGTTGACATGTATTGTCAAGGTCACGATAACGTTGGTTGTTCTACATGTATAGCAGCAGATCACAGGTAAGACACATTCTAATGTATGTCATGCAGTGCGTGCGTTTGCTAAAATTTAATGATAAATATGATGAGGTAAATGTAACTTAAACTTATGACAGTGATATTTGTTTAATTTACTTATTTTGCCTCTTATCAATTTCCAATTAAATGTACCTACAAAAAGTTGCATTTCTGGTGAGATACCCCCGAGATATATGATTAAATATGTGTTAACATTGTTTTCCAAAACCTAAAAATAAACCTTGTTTAAATTGAGTCCGTCAGATAAGAAATTTTACAAAGCATGACATAAATGATCATACTGTCTGAACATGATTTTGAAAGGTTATTTCATATTCATAATACTTTAAAAAAAACTTTATAAGATACAAATTTAATGAAATAAAGTATTCATTTTGCTTCATATGTGATTATGTGCGTATATCAATTTAACAAACATAATTTGTGAACTTTGTCAAGCGCACAATTTAAATTTCAATGCGGCTCTATATTTTTACTCTGTTTTAAAAAGTAACCTGTTGTGGGGAACGCGCTATGAATATCAACTAATCTTCAGATTTGGTTTTAAAAAAACAACAACAAAAACACAATAAATGTGCGAAATTGAAAATAAAATTTAGCTTTTGCTTTTTTCAAGATATTATTTTCATTTTATAAAATGGTTATGAATGGCACAGTTTTCATGACTTAATATAAAATATGTTTATAACAAAACTGTTAACACATTCAAGCTGAACTTTGGAATTGTTTCGATGTTCACAATAAACTCATGTAAAAATATAATTAATTTGAAAATGATAATTAAAATAAATTAGTTCTCAGTTCAAATACATGTATATTGTTGTGGACTTTTTCCAAGGTTTGAATTAGAAGCGTGATATATAAAATGGTCAAGCGATATACAGATTCAAGCTCGAATAATTCTGTTATTAGATGGACATCGGAGAAATGAAAGACATATCTGTTGAACGCTTAAAAGAGACATGTATAATTACACAATGCGATAGCTAGCTGTATCAAATGTAAATACAGAAAGGCAGTTCTGAGTTAATTGTTTGTTCATGTCATTTATGTAATATTTGAACATATTTCAATTTATATTTTTACAAAAATGCACAAGAAAGTACATTAAATTCTTCTTTCCTCAATATCAAAACCAAACACCTTTGGGGCTAACAATTAATTAAAAAGAAAAATGGTTTATGAACATGTGAGAATACGTGTCGAATTAATAATAAAAAAGAAGCAAAAGCTTGATTAAAATGACATTTTGGAAAGGAAACATACCAATTTATTAATGCAAATCCGCATTAACAGTATAATTACAATTTAACAAGTTTCATCGAAGAATAAAATGCCTACTGGTTATGTATGATAAATGCATTTCCCCGGCAATATAAACAAATAAATCATTCTCAATTTTCAGGTCATGTAACGATGTTTTCTATGTGCCTGAGTATGTCTTAGATCATGACCCTACAAGTCAATGTAAACACGTTCAACGGACAATGCTTGCTGTTACAGGTGACGTTGAATTTCAGCTGAAAATTCGACAACAGGAAATAAAACGTCTGTTTAAGCGAAAGGAAGAAGAACTGAAAAAAATTAAACAGTTCCGGATTGACATCAACCAGAAACTTGATAATCTTGAAAAGAAGAGCATTGATAACATAGAAGAAAAATACAAAGCATTAACGAAGAAGGTTGAAGACCAAATTACCATTCTGAGAACTTTCCAGACCGATGTTCAGTCTTCAGCAGCAGATATAAAATCCGCCTCGTCAAACATGTCGCAAATATTTGTCGGGATGAAAGTAGCTAACCTAGTTTCAGGAAGAGTAGAAAATGGTTTAAACGCGACAACAGTGGACTTTAAAAGATTTAATGTTGTGTTTAAAGGTCAGCAAAGACTTATGTCAATGATAGACCAAATGGACATGTTGGGAGAAATTGTAAAATATCCTGCTCTCTATTGGCTCGGGAGAAAGAGGGAGATTAGTATCAAACATGATTCAGACACAGATACTCATAATGATATATTCAGTATATGTATGCTAAAGAATGGGTGTGTGATTATCGCTGATAACAAGAATAAAAGCTTAAAACGTCTTGACGTGACCTCATCCAAAATAATAGATGTATGTCAAGTTCCAGAATCCCCGTGGCAAATATGTGAAGTTGACAATGAGATAGCTATATCCTCCGGAGGGAGGAACATAAACATTGTATCAAGTGAAGTAGGGCTTAAAGTAGCACGGAAAATAGAGACCGATCATAACTGTTATGGTGTAGGGTATAGAAATGAGAAAATTTATGTTACTGATTCAAATGAGACTGTTTTTGTCTACAACATGACAGGGATAATGCTGATACAATTTTCCAAAAATAAGTCAGGTGATAACTTGTTGAGCGATATAAACTGTCTAACGGTCAGCCGAGATGATGAGAGGATATATGTTTCTGATCTTAAACGTGGTCTTGTAGTACTCAGTAAGGATGGGGACTTACATTGGGGAAACAATACTTCCAAACTTGTGGACGCGAGAGAGGTTTCCGAAACAAATAGTGGAGATATCCTTGTTTGTGGATATTTCTCAAACAATATTGTACAATTTTCTCCAAATGGTGAGGTGAGAGGAGAAATACTTACATCAGATGATAAAGATGGATGTTTACAGGCGGTTTGCTATGATCACAATCACATGAGACTGCTAATTGGACGAGCAGAACGGGATTATATAGAAGTTTATGATATAAATTGAACAACAAATTATAAATAACATCTAAATGTTCATGGCCGCTAATCAATGCCTGACTAAATGATGCAATTTTAAGACATCTGTTATCGATATTCATTTTAGATAATCTTCAAGGAAAAATAACAAAATAAATATATATTTTTTCTGCGATTCACCTAAGACATTTGAATTTTGGGCATATTTATCTACCCCTAAACGTATCACATAACCTTTATGGATAATACGTATTCATGACACTTGTGACGAACTAATTTAAATAAATGAATATTGCGGTTCAACAATAATGACCATAAATCCACCAATCCCAAAGGCTACTTATTTGTTTTAAAATAATAGCCTTTTCTATTCATATTATTGTTGTCTTTCCTGTGAAAATAGGCCATGTAAATGTTTCGGATTATTTGCATTATCTAAATATGGTGAATACATACACTTAACACATAGTGCAGTGTGTGATACAAACTAAATATTTCAATTCATCTTAGATACATCACTATTTTTTAGAGAAAGGATTTCATGATCAATTACAACAAGAGAGACCTGCACCGTCGTCCTGGATTGACCCATCAACTTTTCTAATATTTCTAGTGAAAACAAACTAAACACTCTTTCTCAAAACTTTGTTGCGTCACCTTACATATTAGTGTCATTTGGTGCCAATTTGGTTACGTCCTGTGGAAAATAGACTTGTGTGTTTCTTTTTTACCTAAGATGTAACACTATCTCTTCCATTATATCAATGTCGTCGTTTCTTTTGTGTTTGAACATTCTATATTATGTTTTAACTTGTAGTTAAATATTGTTGTGTTTTTCTTGTTTTTTTATTCCTTTCTTCTGAAATTATTGATTTATTAATGCAAAAAATTTTAGAAAAACTGTCTCCACTTTTTCATTGTTTGCAATGCCAATTTCAAATCGTAAGACATTATCAATTTTACAAATTCAAATGTTTAACATTTCAAAATGCTTTAATTCATAAAATGAGACAAAAGTTTTTACAATAGCTAGAAAAGTCTGTGGATAACATAATGATTATGTTTTTTAAGCCGATGTGTTAATTGCTTTTCTTTTTCGACATGGACGTGTCGTGAATTTGAATTACTGTGTTATATTTTCTTCTAGATATTCGTTTCTTCAGAAAATTTATATCATCTGAAAAACAAAACTTTGGTATTCAAGCAAGCACCAAATGAAAATCAAAAGTAAATTTGTTATCATCATTTCATTTTCATAGGTATACAAATGCAGTAAGTGTGACGACTTTACAAAGTAATTTGAATGATGTGTTTAAATGTTTTGTTCGAACTAGTAATTATGAGGAATTTACATATGTGGTAGTTACATAAAATTATGTAGTTGAAATATTTAGTCAGTTTGAGGAGTGTACAGATGCAGTTAATATGAGGAGATAATATATATATAGTTTGTATGATCGAATGAAATATAAAGTTTGTATGACGATTTACATACGCATTTTTTATAAGGTGTTACAAATATGAGAAGTTTAAATGTAGTGTTTAGTGATATGTATAAATATATAATTCGTATGATTACTTTACATGATTCATGCAGTTTGCATTAAGAATGAGGGTTTTACATATGTTGTTTGTATGAGGTGTTTACATATGCAGTGTGTATGGTTGTTTTAGTTTAAGTTTGTATTGGTTTACAAATGTTGTATGTATTAGGAGTGTACATATGTTCTTTGTATATGGGATTAACACATGTAATAAGAGTGTTGCTATGTTCTTTCTTTAAGTAGTTTACATATCGAATAAGAATGAAAAGTAAAGATATGCATTTTGTATGATGTGTTTACATTAAAATTTTGTAGATTGTATGATATGTTTACATGTGCAGTTTGTATGAGGACTTCCCATATATAGTAAATGTGTAAAAGTTTACATGTTTAATATGTATGAGGAGTTTACATGTGTAGTTCGAATAAGGAGTTTGCATATGTAGTTTGTTTGACTGGTTTATAATAATTATTGTATTTAGTTTGAGATGTTTGTTGTCTTTTGGTAGTATGCATAACGCGTTAACAAGAGGACATGCATAATTAAATACATTGTGTAACTTATATTTATAGCTGATTTTGTTGTTACAGTATGCAAAATAGAAAAAGTATTTTTAAAATCCAGGAAGATAGATACTTCGAAAGAAAAGTTTACATGTATATTGTATGTAGCTTTCAAATATTATTTTCTAAACACTTCAATGTATGTTCACGGTGTAGTTTGTTTTTATTTTCAAGTTATTTACTGTCCACAGATACATAAAGCGTGATAGATTATGCAAATACAGTAAACTCCGCTTATAACGAACTCATTGGGACATTCAAAATCTGTTCCTTATATCCGGAGTTCCTTGTAAGCATTTAGCGAATTAGTTCCTTGTATCAGGAGTTTTTATAGCGAACATATTTACATATAACGAACTGATTGTTTATCATTGTCCGCCATTTTGAAGAGCATTTGATTAAGAAATATTAGTCATATATTTCTATTTTAGACACAATACCCGAGAGCGTACTTTCTGGAATTTAAATAATTGCTATTCCAGTTTAAGATTTACTCCCTATGTCAATTTCTCATAAAATATAATATTTTGTTTCTAAACTCTTTTCGTTTTCTTTCCATGATTGAGAATAAACAAGATTTTGAATATCTTCTATTATAATTTAAGGGTGACTTTTACTTATGGAAGATAAAGATTTCTTTTCATTTAAATCAAGCGTACATTGCAGATTGCAAGCATGCGTAATTATGTTGAAAACCGATTATAAATTATTATAATTATTTTACTTGAGCAAAACTATTGACGAAAAGAAATTTTATCTTGGTGAAAAGAGCTTATGCTAAAAATATCCTAAATAGAAAACTATACAAATTCATTTTAATAGATGTATTGAAGTACATACAACGATAAACGGTACATTCGGCCGAGTTTTAATCCATGCATATGAAAATGAACGTCTATTTACGGATAGCCAATATTTTGGAGTTCGTTATAAAAGTGTAATTTTCTGTACTTTTAACTAGATTGGGACTAAGAAATGAGTTCATTATAAGCGATAATTCCTTATAATATTAAATAAAGAAGGGCAAAATTCGGGCCAAAATAAATTGTTCCCTATAACCGGAAGTTCGCTATAACCGTGTTCGCTATAAGTGAAGTTTACCCTGCATTATTTTTCAGTTATTGCCCCTTGTAAGTCAAGTGACACCTGTGAATCCCGACAGGGCCTTTTGATTCTTTCATGTAGGGAAGCTATCCAGCTATCTTACGGAACGTCGGTGGTTCTATTCAGGTGCCCGATCGTGCCTGAAATAATGCACGGAAGGGCATATGAGGTCTTCCTCCACCAGTAAAGCTGGAACGTCGCGATATGACCTATACTGTTTCAATGTGACGTAAAACCCCAAAACAAACAAACAAAGACACCTGCGACATGGCCAATATTAAATATAGCGCCAACTAGTTTTTATGTCCTTCCTAGGTATGACATTGACCCTAAATTAAAAAGCCCAATTTCGTTCGGGCTTATAAAAAAAACCGTATACATCTCTTCTGAATAGAATGTAAATGCGAAAACCTGCTGTCAACATATATCATATGAAACCACGTCACTTTTGCAGGTGGATAATATCTTTGATTGTTAAGCAAGGAAAGACCTTAAAAGTTTTTCATTTTCCACATGTAGCTTTTATTTAAACAGTCACGGACCATTATTAAATAACATGAGCCTTGTTTAGATTTTAAAAAAAATATAAGTAGAACATGAGGGCCATAATAGCCCTGAATCGCTCAGCTGGGATACATTGCCAGAGAAGGTCTCAACTGTAATTTTTCAATGTAAAAGTTAGTGATGAGATAACACTTGGTTTGTCATTTTTACCCTTTAACTGCTTACCTTTAAAAAATATTATAGATGTCTACTACGAAATGCTCAATATCTAAGCTCTAGGAAGTGTAGTTTCAAAAAAAAAGATACTTAAATGTATTTTTCTTACAGATTGATATAGCCTAAGTGACCCCCTTGGCGGGTCCAATTTTTACCAAATGAGCATGTTTTATAACTCCTATAGATGTCCATTTGGCAAGTATACAAGCTTGATATCTAACCATTGAGCATATGTTTTATTTGATGTTATTGTTGGACTTAAATTAACTGGACTGGATTATGTTTAGTCATATGATCAACTGGCAGGACTGTTGTATGAAAAGTGAAACATTTTAATTATTCAAAGAAAAATATACATAAAATCATAAGTTCTTCTAGAGTAAGTTTGACAAAGAATTAACTCGCATAATGACTGAAAACGATACATTTAGGCAAACATCTGCTTTAACATTTCGACATTTTAATTTGAGAATTCAACAACTTATTGTATACAGTATCCCATTTTAAGCAAGTAAAACCGTGTTGTTTCATTTAAGAAATGCAAACAAATTCTCAAATTTGATCGGCTTCTACGCTTTTCATACGTACTAAATGTATTGCACTCGTTGGATAAAGTAACATTATGCTCGCCAAATACTCGCATATTATAATTTTATTCAACTCGTTTCTGTCCCTAGACTGTAATGTCGTCTATGTGTTTTTGTGTCGTTTCTCGATTCAAAACTTTTAAATAGTTAACATAACTGACGTCATCTTCGTTATTCCTGTTATTCAATAAAAGCAGTCGAAAGTTGCTGGGTTTTGAGTTATTGATGCATTTCATGAATTCCCTTTTTATTTCATAAAGCCATTACCATAAAGTATCGATTTCTTAATAATACAGACAGACTTGTTGTATTACGGCAACTTTGTTCTACGTTACGCGTAGTAAATACATGCAATTGAAAATAGAAATATGATGAATAATTATGTCTTATGAATCGGACAATTGTCGTCGTTCTATATATGTTTTTATTAAATTGGTCCAGGAAAAAAGGTTAATAAGATCGGCAGAGGCTCATGGGCACATTGACACGCTTATTTACATGTTCCTAACAAATTGCATATTAGTATTTCTTCATACTTTTAACCTTTGGCAAGTCGTATAATAGCATGATTTTCAATGACTCACAAGTAAAAAAAATCTTGATTTGTTTGCATATTCTTTATTGGTGGAAGTGTCGTCATAAGAAGTCTATATATAGTAAACTAATGTACAAATCAGTGAAAATTCAATAATGTAACCTCCAAGGCTAAGGTCATGAAAGAGCTAATGTCAATTTGAGTTTGATCAACATGCTGGTCCTGTCCTAAAGAATGTTCTGTTATAATATAAAGTCAATCCATTCAATGATAACAAAGTGACAGCCAGTTACAGCAACAAAAAATGAAAAATTTAATAATTTGAACTTCGAAGCCAAGGTCATTTATGAATGAAGTCAAGGTATGTCTAGTTAACTTTAAGGACTATCCTTGAAGATTATTATGTTCAGGTTTGAAGGCAATCTTTCAAAAATAACAAAGTTATAGTCAATAATAGCAAGAAATAAGCAAAATTTGGACATTTGACCTTGAATGTCAAGGTCATTCGTAGATGAAGGTCAAGGTTAGTCTAATCTACTGAAAGATCTTGTCCCAATGGTTGTAATGGTTAAGTATGAAGACAATACACCAAGAACTTAAAAACTTATGTAAGGAACAAGTTTGCGGACGGCAACAGCAACGCCGCCAGGACTATAACATTACCTCTACTTTTTTCAAAAAAAAATCGAGCTAAAAATCAAAATATACTTATTAGTGATCATGTTTTTTTACCACTATTCATTTAGAACTTTTGAATAAGTAGCTGAATATAAAAACAATTAGCTTGCACATGAATCGATGTAGAACTTACTTCAACGTTACAGGTATAAAAAGATAGACGAAATTGAGAAAAGTGTTTGATAAGATGCCTTGCTGCAAGCTCATATCTATCGTACAACCATTATATAAACGTGCATATGATGAGAATACAGAATTCATTAATCTTATTCTGGATAAAGTATATGTACTAACATTTTGGTCAATGCATTTATGATAATATTATGACAAAATTTGCTTATGCTGTACCCTTCTCGATCAAAATATTCATGCTAGAATATAACACGATGACATCAGCTTATCCACACTAGAAATTTATGACAGGCTTGTCCATTTTCAAGACGTTCATGGTATTAAAGGACATTACATATAAGCATTGACCGATTGGCAAATGGAACATTGCAGACCATGATCACGGAGATGCAGCTTTGTCTTTGTGATCATTGTCTGCACTGGTCGCATAGGTAGAATCAGTAGTCGATTAGAGATAAGCTTTGTTAAACCCGGTCATCAGTTCCATTAACTGTGTTTCACCCACACAAAGCCTAATTACACACATGTTTTTTATTTGCAGAAAAAGCGCGGAATCAAAATCGGCATAAATACGAGATCGTTATATTTAAATAAAGGTTTAAAGAAAAATATTTGCACATTTAAATATGCATTTCTACTTCAAATAGGTTGAAAATGTGTAAACAAAATAATGACCATAAAGTACCTGATAACACTAATTGCGTACATTTACATTCTTCTTATGTGATATGGTTTATTTTTAGCGCAGTATCGATCGCATATTTTTCCTGTTAAAGATCGCGAAACCGAAACTGGACTATATTTTATAAAACGTAAATTTGTGTCAAGCACAATGGCGGCCATTTCGGGGAGTGAGATGGAAAGACAGTCAGATGAACCATTTCGTCTGTTATGTTCACCTTGTAAACGTAAAGAAAGAAATAAAGAAGCAGACAAATATTGCGCTGACTGCCATGATTATTACTGTTCGGATTGTGTGAAATGTCACGACGATATTCCTGCTATGTCTGGACATAAGATTCTAGATAAAGATCAAGTTAAAGATGGAACAAGCGGAACACTGCCTGTAACACCAACACAAAGATGCGAGAGACACGGGTTTAAACCTGTAGATATGTTTTGTCAAAGTCGTGATAACGTTGGTTGTTCTACATGTATGGCAGTGGATCACAGGTAAGATATATTTTAATCTATGTTATGTTGTACATAATCTTATACTGAATTATTTACCAAAATGATAAACGAAAATAAGTTAGTTCTCAATGTAAATATATAACAGTGAAACATTTTCAGGACTTGAATTCCTATCGTACATATCTAAAGGTCCATTATACCCACGACATGCTATCATTTTTTTTTGTCCAAAACTTTTTTTTATTTTTCTGTATCATGTTACAGTTTCCAAAATAATATTCATTTGCCATATAGATTAACTATCTTTTACATGTTTCGCACTTTTGGCATGAATATGTAAATTATAGCGAATTCGCTTTTTGTATGGAAGTCTTAATACTATTTTGTAAAAATTGTTCTGCCTTTACGACACATTATTACATGTTTAGCGCTTCAGCTGTTAAAGGCAAATTATGCTATAGGAATGCTTCTCACAAACGTTTTATTTTATTTTTGGTATCATGTTACAGTTTCTAACAAGTTGCTCATTTGCCACATATATGAATTAGCTAGCACTTCTTTTGCCGTGTTTGCAGTTGGTATAATTTAGTGACTTAGTATTTTGTAAAGTAGTCAATATACTACTTTGTTTACATTGTGTTACCTTTATGACGCATAACTGTACTTCTTCAGTTGTTAAACATATAAGATGCTCAAAATTCATAATCAAATCATAATTTAACACATCTTTGACTGTATCAATAATTAAAAAGATACGGATCTCTGAGGCATAATGTGGCTCAAAACATCTTATATGCTCCACATACATTAAACAAACAATAATTAAATACATAATAGACATTTCTAAAGAATTAAAAAATATGGATTTGTGAGGCATAATGTACTTTTTAAACGGCTTAGTTATAGACGGATTCAAGCTAGTACAATTATGACTTAATCATTTAATAAACATGGGAAAGATAAAATTACATATCCATATATGTTGAAAGTTAAAAGCTTGTAGACATGTATAATTCAAACAATGGTGTAGCAAGCTGTATCAATTGTAAAGGCGAAATGATATAGAAAGGCATGTTAATTGTTTTGTGTCAGATTTAAAGATCCTGTAACACAATTCTTTTATGGTTTTATAAAATTAACGAAGTTATACAAGTTATCTTTTTTATTAAAACTATATTTGCTTCATATAATGATGGTCATACATATATAATATGATATTCTTTTACGAAGTTAATGAAGTTTTTTATTTTTAATACAGCTATATTTGCTTCATGTTATGAAGGTCATACATAGTATGATTGTATTTACTTTTGAGAAAAATACTTATGTCTTTATAAATTTCGTATGATTGTAAAAAAAGTAGTTTTCTTGGTGTACAAATACGATACATTTTTAAGAGCTCCAAGAAGTGTGCCTTTAAATATCATTTTTTACGAAGCACACTTTCAACTATATAGACGATGCAAATCCATTTTACGTACTAATATAATTCAATAAGTTGCATCATTCCTATCTAGATAGAAATACATGCTAATGTTTAATGTAAAGTCAATTTATTGTCCTGGCAATATATACAGTAAATATTATTACCAATTTTCAGGTCATGTAACGATGTTTTCTATGTGCCTGAGTATGTCTTAGATCATGACCCTACAAGTCAATGTGACGATTTTCAACAGAAAATGCAAGCTGTTACCGGTGAAATTGAATTTCAGCTACAAATTCGACAACGGGAAATAAAACGTCTGTTCAAACGGAAAGAAGAAGAAGTTGAAAACATAAAACAGTTCCGGATTGACATCAACTAGAAACTTGACAATCTTGAAAAGAAAAGCATTGATAACATAGAAGATAAATACAAAGCATTAATCAAGAAGTTTGAAGAACAAATTACCATATTGACAACTTTCCAGACAGATGTTCAGACTTCAGCAGCAGATATTATATCCGCCTCATCAAATGTGTCGCAAAAATTTGTGGGGATGAAAGTAGCTTACTCGGTTACAGAAAGAGCAGATAATGGTTTAAAAGAGAAAGCAGTGGAATTCAAAAGATTTGATGTTGTCTTTGAACAACAACCGAAGTTGATGTCAATGATAGACCAAATGGACATATTGGGAGATATTGTGGAAAAAACTGCTATATATAGGCTAGGGGAAAAGAGGGAGATTAGTATTAAACATGATTCAGACTCTTACTCCTGTTATGATATACGCAGTATATGTAAGCTTAAGGATGGCTGTGTGATTATCGCTGATGACAATAATCAAAGCTTAAAACGTCTTGACATGACCTCATTCAAAATATTAGTTGTCTGCCAACTCCCGAGATGCCCGTGGCAAATTTGTAAAATTGACAATGAGATAGCGGTATCCTCTCATGGGATGAACATCGACATTGTAACTACTAAAGGTCCTCTTAAAGTAGCACGGGAAATAAAAACTGATCATCGCTGTTTAGGCTTAATGTACAGAAATGGTAAAATTTATGTAACTGATTCATTCAAGACTATTTTTGTCTACAACAAGACAGGGAAAATACTGAGTCAATTTTCCAAAGATCAGTCAGGTAATAACTTGTTTGGCAGTGTCTTCAGTCTTACAGTCAGTCAAGATGGAGAGAGGATTTATGTTGCTGACATTACATATGGTCTTGTAGTACTTAGTAAGGAAGGAAAATTACATGGAAAATATAATACTTTCAACCTCAAATATGCGACGGCGATTTGTGAAACAGACAGTAGAGATATACTTGTTTGTGGTGATACAAGTAACAATAATGTACAATTTTCTCCAAATGGTGAGGTGATAGGAGAAATACTTACATCAGATGGTCAAGCAGGAGGTTGTCGGGCGGTTTGCTATGATCGCAATCACACGAGACTGATAGTTGGACGATATAGACGGGATTATATAGAAATTTACGACATGAAGTGAACAATAAAGAACAAATGATATTTAAACTTTCATGGCAGTTAATCAATAACTGACTTATTGATCAAATTTCAAGACATCTGTAATGATATTCTCTTAAGATAATCTTAAGGAAAAATTTTACTCAAAATGAATATGAACATGTATTTATTTATACATTTCATCCTGGAATTGATATTTAATAACAAATGTCAGTGTAAAAGATAACTTTTCATGAATTTTATAAAGCTAATACTTAAATTATTAAGATGTGGTAAAATTGTATTTCCAGTTGACTGTCCTTAATTTATTTGACCAAAAGAACAAAAAAAATGAATGTCTAAAATTGAAAATGTTACTTCATACACTTTTGGTGTCATATAAAGGCCACATTAAAAGTAATCAATTAAAGTTCAATAATCTTTTATTTTCTTTCATCAATTCATTTGGTAAAGTAATTTCATAAGTATGATGAAGACAGCTTGAATCCCCCATCATATTATGTGCCGTCATTTTCGTTATACAAACATAGTGTAAGGGGGTGCTAAATGTTTGCGTTAATGAAAATGATTCTTTTGTGCCTTAAACAGTCTTTATTCTGGGTATGTTGTAAATACATTGTATTTGTGTAGCATCATTTTTGTATTTATTGAATAAAATATTATTTTACTTGCATAATATAATTTTATTCAACTCGTTCTAAAAGATCAGTATTGAACCTACAGGCCGGACAAGAAATTGCTAAAAGACGGACGAACGGAAGAAGGGCGACCAGGCGCATGACAATATACGCTAAAAAATATATCGAGAGTATACAAAGGGCAATATTCATCCGTGGTACAATTTTGAGCCATTGGTCATGATTATATAATTCTTAGAGATGCACACTTGGAAATAAAACGTGCCAAAAATCTATAGGCGTTATAGTTTTATAAAAGATTTTCCTATGTAAGCCTACATGTATGGTAATTAAACGACCCCTAGGTTGGGCCTATACGACCAAATAGGCATGCTTTATGTAAGTCATATACCAAAATGTGATGTAACATGCCAAATATCTAATCTTTAGGCGTTGTACTTTATGAGAAGTAGATCTTTAAAGGTTTCAATTTGAGCTCTGTAACATACTTATTTAACTATTAACATACATTTTGTAGAGGACTACCCCAGGGTCATTCCTGTGAAGTTTGGTTAAAATCTATCAAAAGTTTTCAAAAATTGTTTATAGAAATTATGGCTAATAACAGACATCACAAAAGCTCAACTCTGAAGATTCTTCTCAAGTAAGCTAAAACTGTTTATTATACATAATTTACTAAAATAATATATTATGCAACATTTAAAGTCAACTCAAGGTAACAAAGTTAGAAAAGTTAACATTTTCTTGATCATACAATGACCATTTTGTTTTATATGTAAATTTGATATAAGAAAACAAATAGTTTTTTAATTCACAACACAAGGAGCATGTCTGTTATAAACATCAACAGTATTGAGTGACTATTTTCATTACTACATGAAGTAAAAGATGAAACATATTCTATCATGTACTAAAACACTAATAGACTACTAGTAATATTAAGAAAATTGATACTGTGTAACACAATGATTTGACGTACATTGTAAGACTGCCTAATATGTTATTTAAAAAAAAAAAAAAAAAAAAAAAAAAAAAAACAGAAAAAATGAGCTATCAACAATATGACGCATGGTCACATTGTATGGATTTTCAGGTTGACCTGGCTATATACTGAGGGGTGAGGCTAATAATTTTATACTAAGAGCTAACTCAGAACTTTTCATCCTGTTACATCATTACATAGGGAGAGAGTGGGGAAGAGGAGGGGGGTTTGATTTATCTAGTTAATTAAAATGTAAGCCTAAACAACTTCATAATAGAAATATCAAGACTCTGTGATTATCATAACAAAGATTTAATCCTAACCAAAAGAGGGCAGTCATATGGATAAACGATATAGTGCACGTAAGAATAACATAACTCGACAGAAAAAGAAAACCACAGCATAAACTATGACGGATAGATGGAAGATAAAACCAAACAAAGTTTTGAAGCAGAAACCTAAGTGACCTTGACTTCTGAAGAGACCAGCTGACCTGAGACAATATGTGACATCTACAAAACATGACTGACCAACCTCTACACCAAAGTTAAAGAACGTATGACTATATGTTCCTAGTAATTGGCCAGATAAAATTTTGGTGGCCAGCCCCTTATAAAATCTAAAAGAAAAGTTAATCTGCTGGTAACGACCAACTTCAACACGGAATTTCAGGACCGTAATGAAAATGAAGGGCATAAAAAAGACTTTGAAAGTTTATTATTGTATACTGTTGACAACAAAATGATAATGATTTTGGAATAGATTATTTGATTGATATGTGAAGTTTTAATAATTCAATTAGTGACACAGAGAATAACTTTGTGAGCTTTATTTCCAGATTGAACGGAAACTTGTACGGTCACTATTTAAATTACTAAAATCACTGGTATGAAATTTTATATTTTGATTGTTGGCTGCGTAAGAGGAGCATGTCAGTATTCTATTGAGCAAGATTTTTTACAATCATTGCTTAAAATGGTTCTAAATATGGATTTGAGAATGTGGTAACAGTTCTCTGCATAATAGATTATTTTAATAAATTATGTATAATAAACTTATTGCGTCCAAAAGTCATGCTTATGAAATGAATGGAAAAAACTTGCATTCAGTTAAAACAATAAAATAACTAACTTCTGCATATTTCAATTCTTAAGAAAAATTTCTAAATAAGTTCTGAATGAACAGCAAAATGTACAAACCAAGTTCAGTCGGCACAAATGTGCCAGCTGATCTTAGTCTGAGTTCAACTGGGTGTATTCAGTATATAGTAAGCAAAATGTTAATACATTTGAAAATTTTAGATGATAGCAAAGATCCGGAAGAAGGTGTTAACTTAATAAAATTAAAATAGGATATTACCGTCTATTGTGCGAGTACATTCATACAACTATTAAAATTGCTTCTCCATATTTTACATGTACATAAAAAAATACATCTTCAGATTCTTTTTCCAAAATAATCTTTGCAGGGCAAAGGTTTTAATACAGAATGTAAGCATTGAAAATAGAACCAAACATACATGTACCATATAGATCTCTGTTTTAAATGACAACTGTATCCAGTCGTTTCAAAATAATTGTATAAAATGGACTTTTTTTAATTGTTACAATAACTTTTATAGTATTTTATGGTGTACTTCGAAAAAAAAATTAATTAAGAATTTCATCATTTGCTATTTACTGATTCCGCTAATGAAATATATTTTATCTAAGTAAATACTAAACATCACTCAGAATAGTAGAACAAACTAAAGCACAAGTTGAATATAAACAAGAACAACTGCTATTGGCACTTCTTGACATTATGGCATTACAAAAAAAAACTATTTGATACAAAATCGTATATATAGTTCTATAAAAACTCTTAAAGAAAACAGAAAATTCTATTATTGGCCTCAGTGACGTTGACCTCACTTATCAACATGCAAAACAAAACGATACTGGTATATGTCTATTCAAGGTATTTACCAAACAAAACCATGGATATAGAACTTGTTAGCAAATACAATGACGTGACGTCATTTGCGTTATACAAACTTAGTGTAAAGACGCGCTGTAGCGTAACACTATAAGTGAGTCAATGAAAAATGGATTATTTTGCACTTTAAACAGGTTATTTTGAGAATGTGATAAATAGAGTATTATGTTGGTGTAAGTTCATTACTGACTTTATTGAACTCGTTGAATAAATTATTTTTTTTCTCGCACCTTATTCAATTAATTCAGTTTTGATCCTTCACTCAATCAATATCTTCTATTTATTGAATTAATTGGATAAATAATTTGAGTCTCGCAAGAGGCTTACATATAATTATTTTATTTTCAACTCGTTTAATAAATTCAGTATTGAACCATCACTATTATATCCTATTCTTATAGGAATAGGCATAACATCCCTAACGCCCCTTAACACCGGCTTGAGCGCTAGAGGTACTCAGTTCTCAACACTTAATAGTGTTAGCATCAATGATCCCGAAGGACCTGAAAAATATAACAACACTGAAGTGAGTAACGAGGCAACTTTTTACAGCTGCAACACGGTACTTGACACCTGCTGTTGTGAAGTATAAAAATCTGGAAACAAAGTGATCCTTCGGAAACCTACATCAACGTCACAGGTATTATAGAATCTTGGACAAGATCGACGAAATTGAGATAAGAGTTTGATAAGATACCCGGCATGTTGTAAGTTCATCTCTCTCATACAACATTTAACCAGTTTTTGAGCGTGCATATGATGAGAATGCTGCACAAGTATTCAATAATTCAATTCATGATAAGGAATTTGTACGAAAATATGAAATATGAATTGATGATATTGATGTTTATTTGAAATTATTTCTGAAGCACGTGACTTTTAAGACGACAATTGCTTACTTTGTAGTCATTCTCTATTAATATATTCAATCAAAAACTACTACACAACGACATCAGCCTTACCAAACTATAAATTTTAGACAGACTTGTTCATTTTTCGATCAGATCAAAACCGTATAATTATAATGTTTGATATATATTTAAAGACAGCTTTTCAAATATGCATTGACCGAATTGCGAACATAAAAATTTAGACTATGGTCACTAAGGTGCCGGCCGATCTTGGTCGCATGGGTAGAATCAGTAACCGGTTGAAGGTTAAGAGTTAAGCTTTGTTAAACAAGTAAGCTAATAAGTACAATTAACATGTGTGTTGCCAACAATAAGCCTTATAACTCATATTTTTATTTGCAGAAAAATGGTGCTTAACAATTCTCTTCAACAAAATCGACATGAATCCAAAGTCGATAAATTAAATAAAGGTTTAAAGAAAAATATTTAAGCATTCAAACATGTATTTCTACTTCAAATAAGTTGAACCTGTACTCAAATTACCTAATAAAAACTACCTTTATATTAACTATTTGACCTAAATACCTAAACATTCAACTTATCTAATAAAATTTATTTTTAGCCCAGTATCGATCGTGATATATTTCCTGTTATATATCACGAAACCGAAAATGGACTTTATTTATAAAACGTAAATTTGTGTCAAGGAAAATGGCCGACATTTCGGGGAGTGAGCTGGAAAAACAGTCAGATGAACCACTTTATCTGTTATGTTCCCCTTGTAAACGTAAGGAAATAAATAAAGAAGCGGACAAATATTGCGCAGATTGCCATGATTATTACTGCTCGGATTGTGTAAAATTTCATGAGGATATTCCAGCCCTGTCTGGACATAAGATTCTAGATAAAGGTCAAGTCAAGAATGAAACTAGCGGAACGTTGCCTGAAGCACCAACCCAAAGGTGCGAGAGACACGGGTTTAAACCTGTTGACATGTATTGTAAAGTCATGATAACGTTGGTTGTACTACATGTGTGGCAGAAGATCACAGGTAAGACACATTCTAATCCATGTCATGCAGTGCGTTATCCGAAATTAAATGATAAATATAATGAGGTAAATGTAACTTAAACTTATTATAGTGATATTTGTTTAGTTTACTTAATTAATCTCAAATCAATTTCCTATTTAATGTACCTACAAATAGTTGCATTTCTGGTGAGATACCCCCGAGATGATATCATTAAATATGTGTTAACATTGTTTTCAAAAACCTAAAAATAAACCTTGTTTCA